TTTTAAGAAATAAGGAGAATAATCTCTCTTCTGTTGTCTTTATCTGTTGTTTTTGTCTTTCTTTCTATTTTTTTTTTCAGGGAACACAACTATGTACAAGGGGCGAAAGGGAGAACAACTGAGAGGCGGGAGGTAAGAACAGTAAGGGGTTTCTATTCTTACTCCCTTTCAATTCTTGTTGTTCTTTTTTTTTTTTTTTTTTTTAAGAAATAAGGAGAATAACACGAGGGTTCGGAATGGCTAGCTAGTCCGAACTATCTAGCCCGTGCCGCGTGTAGCCGCGCGGCACGGGGTTCGCACTAGCCGGCTTTTAAAAATGGTGGCGCCAGCTTTATGCTAATGAAGCCCGGGAAATTCAAATCCCGGGCTTCATTAGCAAGTTCGGTATGCATACATTACCCCGCTAGTTCGAACTAGTGGGGTAGTGTAGACATACCCTAAGGGTGTATGTATGAGGGAACTAGAAATAATCTACTTCAGTGAGCTAAATGAAGAGCGCAGTTCCAAGTGTCTGCAGCCTGAGGCGGTAAAGAGGGACTGGCGGGGGGCTGGACCACATGAGACAGAAAAGAACGCGAAAGCTGCGAGCCTGCAGCACATGTACGGTCTGGCCGAACACTGCTCATCACAAGCTTCCGTCTGTGGCACCGGGGCAAGTCCAGCACCCATAGTGGAGCACCTGCGGGGACATCCCCGAAGAAGAATAAACATTATTCTGCGCACTGAATTATGTACAAATGTGCACCAGCACAAGAAACACAGGCTGCTGGCTCTGGACATTCCGCTAATCAGCTTGTGGTACCTGAATCCCTCCTGGTGGCCGCCTAAGTGCTCTGCTCACAGGGAACAGTAGGCCAGACCCTCAGCGGGTGTACGCTGGCAGCACAAGGCCTTTCTGTTCAGTCTCAGGGGGGGTGGCTGCAAAAACAGTCTGTGTCTGCAAAAACAACAAGGAATCCAGTGACACCCTAGAGACTAACAGACTGATTACAGCATCAGCTTTTGTGGGTAAAACCCACTTCCCCAGATGAATGGGAGTGGTAGCTCCACAGGCAGGGTGTGGATAAGAAAGAAGTTGCTTGTGTTGAGGCTAATCAAGTCACAGCACACGTGGCTCATTCACGGCATTTGGTGGGGGATGTGACTGTCCAGAGAGGGGAAACTGCCTTTGTGATGCATTAACCAGTTCACGTCCCTCTTCAGCCAGAAATTGATAATGTTGAAATTGCAAATTATCCAGTTCAGGGTCTCCCTCTGTGAGCAGGGTTTGAAATTCTTTCCTATCTACACCCCTGTCTGACGGGGAAAGCACGCCCGTCCCCCTCAGAGGCAGGGCGTTAGAGCTCTGAGGCCTCTCAAAAGGTGCTTTACCCCGTGAGCATATTGAGCCCAATGGCTAAGGCCCAATAACCACACTTCCTCCCTAGGAGGCAATCAAGCCTAGTAGCCACAGTCAGTAAGAGCACCCCTTCTGGAATGGTAGTGAGACCCAGATATCACAGTCAATAATAACATACCCTGCTCTCATGGCAGTGGGGCCTAGTGTCCAGTCACCAGCCCTCTCCTCAGAGCAGTGGTCCTGTACCCAGCCTACTTACAAAGAAAGAGCTACTGTTTGCAACCTCCAAGACTGGTCTAAACCAGCATCTTTCTGCCTTGTCTTTTTGGGACCGTACTGTGCCCCTCATCTCTTTGTTCTGCACACACGTATCCCAGGGACCAAGAGCGTGACGACACCTTCTGGCCTCGTCCCACCTCTATCATCCTTATCTTTGGGTCACTCCAGTGAGAGCAACTGCCGGCCTGTGCCTATGGCAGAACTCTCCCCCTCCATCCCATGTGCTCACGCTCATAGGTTTTGGGCAAAAACAGTTAGGGTATTTCTACACTAGCTCGTTAGTTCGAGCTAGGTAGAGTAATTAGGGCAACCAGAGCTGCAAATGAAGCCTGGAATTTAAATAACCCGGGCTTCATTTGCATGTTCCCGGGCGCTGCCATTTTTAAATCCCCCTTAGTCCGAACTCCGTGCCCGTGGCTACATGCAGCACGGAGTAGGTAGTTCGAATTACAGATCCTAATATCGAACTTCCGTTACTCCTCGCTCACGTCCAGTCCATTAGGGCTGTGCGCGCAGCATGCACTTGTCATTGGAACTTTTTCCCCCAGAAGCACCCATTGGGCCAGCAGGGGAGCCCTCTGGAGTATGCTGTTATACCGGCCAATATATACCCCTGCTGGCCTCCACCCCCTTGGTTCCTCTTACTGGATCACTCCGAAGAAGGGGAGGTGGGCAGGATTTGGAATGGACGTGAGCAGCGCATCTCGAAGAACAACAGTTACCAGGTAAGGATCCATTCTATCTTCTTGGAGGGATGCCTTCAAAGTAGAAACACCAGGTGGCGGGGTCAGAGTTCTAACCTTCCCCTGAATGGAGGACAGCTCTACCCAAGGTAGTGATCGGCAAAGGTGTGATCAGCAGATATCTAGGATCAGGACCTGAGCCACAAAAGCTGCACCCCGGAACCTGCAGCCAGGAGCTGCAGCGTTAACACCAACCCCATGGCCGAGGCACATGTCGGGCCGAGAATCCCTGGGAAGCAGTTCGGTGAACTTGTCCACGGAGGCCCATAGCAGGACAGCAGAATCTGCTGGTTTGCTTTTCGAAATTGGAGGCATCCAGATGCGTTAGGCCTTGCTTCCTAACAGGTCCTGTTCTTAGGGGTGGCACCCTCTGGTTCACCAACTGAACGACCAGTGGCCCCGGAACTGGATGAGAGAAAAGGTATTCGTTCCCCTCCCGGGAAACAGAATGCCGCCGCTCAACCTTCTTATCTGTTGATGGAACAGAGGCCGAGGTCTGCCAGAGGGACCTGGAGATTTTGGCCACCATTTTACTGATGGGGGTGTCCGATTTCAGGATGTTGGTGGTAGGGTCGGAGTCCTCCGACACCCTCTCAGCCTGGACCCCAGGCTTTGGGTCAGTCGGTGAAGGCGATCTTGGTGTGCCCTTGATGGAGGGGAGAGTGCTGCCCAGGGCCTCATCCAGAGAGGAAGATGAGGACCCCTTCAGGCCTGTCACCACGTGGACTGTGGCCTGTGAAGGGCCTTGAGAGGCCATTGACAAGGGCACTGTGGATGGCTGGGCCCCGGGGCCCTTGGTCTCCGAAGAATGAGGGACTGGCCTGATGAGGAGGAGCGACTGCCCTGATGTAGAGGACCGAGTTGTTGGGGTTGCCAAAGAAGCTGCCTGGACTCAGAGAAGACTGGCTCCAGTCTAGAAGGGCACCCATCTGGTGGTAGGCCCATGGGGTCCAAAATGGCCACTCAGATGGAGTTGGTGCCAGTGGAGGCCATGACTGCTGCATCTTCGGTACCAGGCCTGGTTATGCCCATTGGTGCTGCTCCTGATGCACAGAGGAACTACAGTGCCATGATCGGTGATGGGAGTAAGACCGGGGCCGAGACCGAGATCTGGATCCCCTGGATGATCATGGTGACTCTGCTTCTGGAGTACTCTAAGGCCAAGCAGGGTGCAGCAGAAGTGGACGTAGCTGATGACCCTACAGTGGGGGGGTGCCAGGCCATCAACTCTGGCTTGCCTCAGTGCTGATGAGGGGGAGGAGCAGGAGGCCGGTGCCAAAGTAGGAGAGGGGGAAGTTCAATTAAGTCTTTGGAAACCTCAAAGGCCTCCAGAGTCAAGGAGTCTGGGCCGTCTCCCAATAGACGGGGGTCCCAGCATGGAATAGGTCGTTTACCCGACTGAGATGGTCTGGGCTCGGCGCCCAATGCTGCTACATGCCCCACTTGAGGGTGCATAGAGGGCACGCACCCTGGAGGTGACCTGCCTCTGCTGGGCCTCCTCTTTTTTTCAGGCACCAGGGACTGGGAGCGGTGCCAGAGTCTGCACGGTGCCGGTGAGGCATCTGAATGGTTTGATGCCTCTTGCACCAAAGCCGGTGCACTCTGGGTCGCCAGTGCTGGATTGGATGCCAGTTGCCAAAAAGCCCCTCTATCAGGATAATCTTGAGGCACGACTCTCTCTCCTGCTTTGTCTGCAGCATGAACGCCTTACAGATTTTACAGGCCTCGGACAAGTGGGCCTCACCCAGGCACTTAAGACAGACAGAATGCAGATCGCCACAGGGCACAGGCCTCTGGCACTTCTCACAGGGCTTGAAGCCTTGAGGCCTGGGGATGCCCCACCTCACGTACTGGGTGTACTTAGCAGGAACCACGGTGGGTTCTTAGCTCAGGAAACACCACTTAAAGAACAAACTGATAAGAACGGTAACTGATACTAGAACGAAGAACATTAACGCTGGGTACCAGTGAAAAGGCGTTTGCTAAGCAAGAGCAGAAACCCTTTTCAACGATCATCTTGGGTGGTAAGAAGCAACCAAGGGGGTAAAGGGTGAGCAGGGGTATATACTGGCCGGTATAGCAGCATCATTGCAGGGGCCTCCCCTGCTGGCCCGACAAGTGCTGCTAGGGGAAAAATTACTGACAACACGTGCACACTGCACGCACACACCTACATGGAATGGACGTGAGCAATCGCTCAAAGGAGAATGGCACATTTGAAGACGGTATCATGGAATACTTAGCACAGAGGAACAAGTGTATAGAGAAACATAGGCCAGTTCAGGCCATGTAACCGCTAGAAGTGAGCACCTGACACAATGTTATGGGCATTCAGGGCAGACTAGGAGTATTAACATATCTAATGTGAATCATACCCATTGAGCATGCAATATGTGACCTTAGCCCAGCATACGGCAGTGAACACGTCAGAAATAGATTTAACCCCCCTCAAACATTCAGCTGTTTCTAGTGACTCCGATCCAGTGACCCCAGCCTCCACTATAGAGCTGAGACCCCATCAAGAGCTGTTCGCCCTGTATCAGCTTCACAGCAGACACATATTCTGTGTGAGGTTTTGTGATGGGCATAAACGCGTCCCACACAGTTTTGCATTCTGTTCCGTGAGCCTGGGAACTTACCCGTTGAGCCTTGAGTGCTCCCTGGTGGCAGAGAGGGGACTACGACCAGGAGGAGAAATACTTGAAAGAAACAAAAATAAATGTGTGTAAATGTTATACAAACAGAAACAAGCAACAGAGACAGAAACGTCTCCTGGCCCTTGTCCAGGGACCAAATTTTGCTGGATGACTCCATTGTGATTCTAGTGTAAATCCAATGAAGTCCGTTTTTCCATTAATAACTGTTTATACCATAGTATATGCAGGAACCCTGGTTTTGTGCCACTCCAGCAAGTTGGCTTACCCAGCTATCTCGAAATTCCCCTTGTGCACTGACTTCATGTTACACCACCCCCGCAACCCTGGGCACAGCAGCTTCCCAGAGATGAGTTGTAAGGCCAAGATACATCTATGCTCTGACTAGTGTCAGCTGCTGAATGGTCCCTTGGACCTGGGATGCTTCAGGAGGAATCGGGGAAGACTTTAGGCTGCTTGCAGGCACCAGACTGATCCTGTTATCCCCTGGGATTCAGTGGTTGTGAACATGGCTGACAGCATCTTCGACCCATCCAGGCTCTGGTCTCACGGTGAGTCCCTCTCAGCCAGCCCCAGGAATCTGACCCGTAAATCTAAGGGTGTTTCAGCAAGTCTGGATGGAGTCTCAATTAGTGCAACATGAGCACTGGAAGGAGCAGAGGAAATGTCCTGTCACAACAATGTAGGTGTAAATTCGAGCTCTAGGAGACATACCTGGCATATGAGAAACAGAAGTGTGGCCGTCTTTGGCCAAGTAAAGGGAAAGGCTGCCTGCTCCAACCTCATCTGTATCCAAGGCCACAGGTAGGCACTCAGGGCAGCTAGCCCCTCCCCCTGCTGTGGGGACACTTCTCTGTGTAGCACGCAGCTAGACAAGAGCTAGCACAGCTGTGTCTTCCCCAGCGGGAGCACACACCTTCCAGCTCTCGTGCAGATGGACACATGAACCCCTCTGGGCTGTCTGAGCTCCACCCCTGAGTCCAGCCCATGGACTTTGTTCCACTCACCCAATGGACACAAATCCCCTCGGGTTCCCATGATGGCTCCGACACTCTCAGGAGCGGTTGAGCTCTGAGGGCTCTGAGCTTTGCAGCTTCCTTATTTTGGAGAAATTAGGCAGGAAGCCAAAGTGACTCAAGTCCTTGTTTCAGATCATATCAACATAGAGTACCACGCACGACAAAACACTGTCTTTCCAGCCTGCCCTGCCCTCCTTCCTTCTGCCTCCCTCGTCTGCCAGCCCCATAGTCTGTTACTTTGCAGTGAGACCCTATGGGGAAAACCGAGCACAGTGCAGATGGCCCAGCCCCATTTCACAGAATTAGAGAAAAGGAGAGTTGCGAGGGACCTGAGGAGCTTGAACAATCCACCTCCAGGCACTGAGGCAGGACCAAGTGGACCTAGAACATCCCTGGCAGGTGTTTGTTCAACCTGTTCTTAAAGCCTGCACTGACAGGGACTCCACAACCCCCTCAGTGTGTGTTCCATCCTCAGAGTTAGAAAGTTTTTCCTGATACCTAACCTGCTTCTGCCTTGCTGCTGACTATGTCAGTTCCTTCTTGTCCTACTCTTGGGGGACCTCGGAACCTGTAATCCCTGTCCCTGTTATAACAACCTTTTACCTATTTGCAGGGTTATCATGTTTCATGCCTCAGCCATCTCTTCTCTGCACAAAACATGCCCAATTCTTTCAATCTTACCTCACAGGTCATCTTTCCTAACTCTCTGCTCATTTCTCTTGCTCTTCTTGGACGCCGTACAGTTTATCCTCATCCTTCTTTCAGCTCAGCACCCAAACCTGGACATGGTACTCCCAAGCCGCGTAGTGTCACCTCCCATCTCTACCCACCCCACTCCGGTTATGCATCCCAGAATGACATTTGCCTTTATCGACAGCCTCGCACTGTAGACTCACATTTCATTTGTGGGCCACCAGAAACTTCAGACCCTTTTCTGCAGTTCTGCTGCAGAACCAGCGAGTCTCCGTACCTCCCTGACGAGATTTGACCCTCCTCAGGGACTAGAGGATACTACCTTGTTTCCTAGTCAGAAAAGACTTTTGAAATTGAAACCTTTTTCGGGCCCCATCCACTAGGCTGGGTGCCTGTGAAGGAAATTGCCTCTTTTTGGTATGATTTGTTCTCGACAAATCCACGTTGGTTGTTGTTTATCACCTTATTATCCTTAAAGGTTTAATAAATTCGTTGCTTAATCATTCCTCACTTGTGCTCTTTTTTGAAGATAGGCACCATGTCTGGCCTTGTTAGGAACCTCGCCCATCCTCCATGAGTGCTAGAAGATTATCACCAATGGTTCAGAGGTTGCTTCCCCTAGTTTCTTAAGTGCTCTAGTGTGAACTTTGTCTGGCACTGCCAAAATGCATAGATTTAACTTAGCTCAGTAATTTTTGTTAACTTAGCTATTGTTTCCCTATCCTGGCCACTGCTCCTTCCCTCTCATTAATATTAATGAGTGTTATGGCTCTAGTCACAATTAACCCTTTTAATCCTCTATTCAGGAAAGCTTAAGACGAGCCCACACTGAGTAGGGTCTTGGAAACAAATTTTAAGGAGAAAGTAGTTAGGGACATTGAGGTTAATGGCAATTGGGACAAATTACAACATGGTTTTACAAAAGGTAGATTATGCCAAACCAACCTGATCTCCTTCTTTGAGAAAGTAACAGATTTTTTAGATAAAGGAAATGCAGTGGATCTAATCCACCTCAATTTCAGTAAGGCATTTGATACAGTACCACATGGGGAATTATTGGTTAAATTGGAAAAGATGAGGATCAATATGAAAATTGAGAGGTGGATAAGGAACTGGTTAAAGGGGAGACTACAGCGAGTCATACTGAAAGGTGAACTGTCAGGTTGGAGGGAGGTTACTAGCAGAGTTCCTCAGGGATCAGTTCTGGGACCATTACTATTTAATCTTTTTATTACTGACCTTGGCCCTAAAAGTGGAAGTGTGCTAATAAAGTTTGCGGATGACACAAAGTTGGGAGGTATTGCCAATTCAGAAAAAGATCGGGATATCATACAGGAAGATCTGGATGATCTTGTAAATTGGAGTAATAGTAATAGGATGAAATTTAATAGTGAGAAGTGTAAGGTTATGCATTTAGGGATTAATAACAAGAATTTTAGTTATAAGCTGGGGACACATCAGTTGGAAGTAATGGAAGAGGAGAAGGACCTCAGAGTCCTGGTTGATCACAGGATGACTATGAGCCGCCATTGTGATATGGCTGTGAAAAAGGCTAATACGGTCTTGGGATGCATTATGCGAGGTATTTCCAGTAGGGATAAGGAGGTGTTAGTGCCAAAGCTGAGAACCGGCTGTCCAGGGGGGGGTCCCTTTAAGCTCGAGCCTCAGATAGCCTCAGACAGCAGCCACACAAAGCAACTACTGACCTGATGCCCTGCCAGAACCAGTTTCAGCTGCTCTTAAATGCCCCCCTGCGTCCAATCAGTGTGGACGCGCTAGTTCGAATTAGCAAAATGCTAATTCGAACTAGTTTTTAGTTCTAGATGCGCTAGTTCGAATTAGCTTAGTTCGAATTAGCGCTGTAGTGTAGACGTACCCTAACAGATTATGTGAGATTGTGATGAATTCTCCATCTCTGGCAATTTTTAAAACAAGAACGGATTTTTTTTAAAAAAAGATTGATCTAGATAGAAATTATTTTGGGGAAGTTCTAGGGACTGTATTATATAAGAAGTCAGACTAGAATGATCACAATGACCCCATGTGGCCTTGGGATCTATTTACCCTTTTGCTCATGTGTAATTAATTTTTCAGTTTCTCAACCAATTCAAAGTCTTCCCATTTCAAACTTTATCTCCCTGATTTATTAAAAGGCTACTTGCACCTCATTGAAAAATACACTGTTTTAATTCCCTTTCAATTGGTTTGCACACACAATTGCAATTTCATAAGCTTGATATGACACACAAGGAGGAATAAAATTCAGCTTGATGGATGCTTGTCTACCCATATAACACAAGAAATGGTACAAATGAACTATTTGTAGCTAAAGTCTGGAGATCGGATTCTGAATACAGGCAGGGAACAGGTTCCTGGGGAAGATCACTGAATTTTCAGAGTAAAATGGCATTTTGAAGAGTAAAGTCCCTTTGAGGTGGGACAGAATTTCAGAATCCAGAGCAGAGAGTCTCAGAACCCGGTCAGGTATTTTGGCCTCTTCATCGTATGGGGATGATAAATAGCAATGTAGATATTCCCTCTTGAGCAGAAGCCTGGGCTCTGAGAATTGCTTCTCTCACCGGGTTTCAGAGCCCAGGTTCCAGGCAGAGTGGGAATGTCTATGCTGCTATTTTTAGCCTTATAGTGCAGGCTGAAGTCAGTTGGCGAGTGCTCCAAGAACCAATGCTGTGGGCCTTGTGTATATAAATGTACCCTTAGTGCAGTGGTCATATCATATTTGGGGTCAGGAGGGAATTTTCCTCCAGGGTAGATTGGCGGAGGCCCTGGAGGTTTTTCGCCTTCCTCTGTAGCATGGAGCACGGGTCACTAGCGGGAAGATTCCCTGCATCTTGGGTCTTTGAACCATCGTTTCAAGGACATCAATATCTGAGATATAGGTGAGAGAATTATTCTAGCAGTGGGTGGGTGAGATTTTGTGGCCTGCATTGTGCAGGGGGTTGGACTAGATGATCAAAATGGTCCCTTCTGACCTTAAAATCTAGAGGTATATTTAAACTACATGGTTCCATCGACAGAGACATGTAGATTTGTTTGTTCAGCAAAGGGAAATGAAGCCACGATTTAAATAATCATGGCTTCATTTAAATTTAAATGGCTGCCCCGCTGAGCCGACAAACAGCTGATCAGCTGTTTGTTGGCTCATCGCGCTAGTCTGATCGCTTCCGCGCCGACATGAAAGCCCTTTATTGATCTCCCCGGTAAACCTCATCCTACGAGGCATAACGGGGAGGTCGATAAAGAGCTTTCAGGTCGGTGTGGAAGCATCCAGACTAGCGCACTGAGCCGACAAACAGCTGATCAGCTGTTTGTCGGCTCAGCAGGGCAGCCATTTAAATTTAAATGAAACCGCGATTATTTAAATCGCGGCTTCATTTCCCTTTGCCGATCAGCCTAATCTAACATCATCGATTGAGCCATGTAGTTTAGACACACCCTAGAAGTGGCTGGTTGTTGACATACTGGTCAGAGATTTCAGTGGGCTGGGGTTCATAATGAATCTTCCTGTTGCTGGTCATCTGAGGTGGGGAAGCTCTAATGCCTCGTCATTTTCTCAGAAGAGGCTATTCTGAACATGAAACAAACAGGAAGGCAAGTCTTTCTGCAGATCACAGATTTCTACTGATCCGGAAGATGCTGTTGTCATGTGTCAGCCTCAGCCCTTACTAACCTTTATCTGTACCTAGTGGCTTGGAAATACGGTTCACACGTGAGTGTTGTTCCGGGTCCCACCCGCTCCCCTGAACCTCAGTGAACCACTGGAATTGTCCCTCCCAGATGCTGTGTATGAAAAACCAAAACTCCTCTCTGACTGAAAAGGAGAAAGTCACTCCCATTTTCCCCTCTCGAAGGGGGCTCAGGCTAGCAAATTGTGTGTGTGCCAGCCCCACAGAGGATGGCAGGGGCTGGCATCCCAGCTCGGGCTCCCCAATGCTGGGGATGAGGAGCCCTGAGCCCTGGCAGCCAGATCCAGGCAAGCTAGGGGAAGCCAGGTCTACATCTGGGCTTTATGTTACCCATCTCTGATCTCCAAATAACACCATGCTCCCTTATTTAGTTTCTCCTGGCTAGTAACAATTTTATAGACCGAAGAGGCAACCCCCTGGCTTTTGTGGATCTGGCCCCTGAGGAGTTGGAGAGCCCGTGCTCAAACTCCAGCCTTCCTGCCGCCCCACTACGGGGCTAGAGAATAAAAAAATCTACTAGCTAAGGCCACATCAGTGAGGGGTTGTTTTTTGGGGTTGTTTTTTGTTTGTTACCTCACTTTTGTTTAGCTCCTGACAGATTTTGTGGGTCAGCAGCCACTCCCGTCATAGACCTCTATCATATCCCCCTGTTACCCAGGGGACAAAGGCAACTAGGAAAAACAGGAAGCAAGAAGGTGACCCCAGTATCAGGGTAGCCCCTGGTTCAGAGGATGCAAGCCCCCTTTCCCCGTGTCTGTCACTGGGAGGGAATAATTACTCTGGGCACCCTCCAGGTGTGATGAAGGACACTGCAGGTAAATTTTACAACTGTATTAAGGGATTAAATTACAATAATTGGGAAAATGGGAGAATTCAAATAAGAACTGAAAACAAAGAACAATAGTGCGCATCCCTAACTAACCGGTAGCCATACAAGAGTGCAGGGAGTCTAGCAGGGAGGCATATCGCCTGGGTCCAAACCCCTCTTTAGCCAGTAAAGATGACAGAAAAGACCCCAAAAGCGATAAACCCCTTTGACATTTTAGAGGCGCAGATGGGTGCCATGCAGAGGCCAAAGCCTGGGCCCTTTGACCCTTGAGCTAATGGGATGCTTTTGGGAAGGAACTCCAGGGCGATCCCAGCAGGGAACGTAGATGGGTGACAGTGGAGCCCAGATAGGAAGATTTACTGACTTCCCTCGGCACAGCTGTGAGGCTGCGGTCTGTGGCTGATGGGGTGGCGAGGGAACGGAATAATCCTAAGGCCACAAGCCACCCACCCCCAGAGCCTGGTAGCGCTTCTGTGGCACAAAACCTCTGAGGTGATGGAATGTTCAGGGGCCGTTCCGGCGGGAAAAACCGGTTCCAGCCGGTAAGAACCAGCTCAGCTCGGCCTTCTCTAGCTGCTGACAGGCCCTCTGCTCAAAATGGCGTTCACTGACTCCATCTTCAATGGCTTTCACAAACAATCATGAGAATCATGCTTAACTAAACCCTTAAATACAAACCTACCGCTTTCTCCAGCTTAACTAAACCCTTAAATCCAAGCCTGCCGCTTTCTCCAGATCATATGTTAAACAGTCCCAGACCCAGTCCAGGCAGCTGGGGACATCCACTATTCACACCTCTCATTTCTGAAAACTAACCATTAATTCTTACCCTCGGCTTCCTATCTTTTAACTTGTTTTGGATCCATGACAGGACCTTCTCTTTTGCCCCATGGTAGCTTACTTTGCTTACAAGCCTTTAGTGAAGGATCTTGCCAAAGGTTTTCAGAAAATCTAAGCACATTAGATCCACTTGAACACCCTTGTCCACATGCTTGTTGGGCCTCAAGTATTTCTGCTGGATTGGGGAGGCCTGTTTTCCCTTTTCAGAAACTAGGTTGACAATTCCCCCCAACAAATCATTTTCCCATGTATCTCTGACAATTCTGTTTTTTAGTGTCATTTCAACCAGTGTGCTTGGTACTGAAATCAGGTTTACTGGCTTGTAACTGTCTTAGATATGTTGAGAGAGCCACAACCTTTGCACCTAGCAGGCAAGATACCATGTGGTTCTTTCAGTCATCGCAAACCCAGGTGTCTATTTCTAATGATCAATACCCTCGTTACTAACACCTGTCTCTGCCTAATAACTGGAGTTCCCCTCCCCAGAGAGGCATCCTCAGCATGAGAGGATACCGCAGCAGCATCTGGAAGGAGGGTCCCAGCTATGGGCTTGCTTCCCGTTGTTCCAGCAGAGACGTTGTCAGACCAGAGTGGGACCATTCCACTGTGTCCTTGGAACCTGCCAACTGTCCCCTGACATTTCTCATACCACAAACCAATGAGGGAATTCAAAGGTGATTGTCGGCAGAGGGGAACTTAACCTGAGCCAAAGCAACAGCAATGGCAGGAGCACTGCAAACACCAACGTTCAGCTTACCATGCAGGGACAAACCAAGGGACTCTGGCTCCTGAGGGGTGTTTCCAGATCAGCTTGTAACTTTAAAAGGGCCCCGTGTCGTAAGTGCCTGAACACTGACACTTATGTGGGAAACACAAAGGCAGCTTTCAACCTGCATCCGAACCATACAGGGCCTATAAGAAGCACACGGGATCTTTTCAAGGACAAAGGCAATGTGCTGTGTTTATTGAGAATATAACGTAAAAAGCAGCATTTGCACCCACCCCCCCACAACCACCTCCTCACACTCCACTCCCACCTGTAGCTTGGACCAATGTCATGGCCAGTGGGGAAGCAGGGTTCTGTCACTCACGATCTGATGCTTTGCACGACAGACCCCAATGCAAGACACCTCATCTGTTATATAATTCCTTCTCAGACGCATCTCCAAGTTTTGCTGCGTTGTGTTGGAATCAGTTACTTGGCAATAAAGGATTTGTGACAGGGCACTTGCCCTGCACTGGCCTTTTACGGGCAAACCCCAGCCCTGAGGAAGAGCTAATTAGGGCCAAGCCGGGAGAGGGGGAGGGCCTTATAATGAAGGACTCCTGGAGGGAGTGGGAGAACTGACTGTGGCTCTGGTCAGAAAGTAGCAGGGACCTGACTGCTGGGAAAGCAGGAGGCTTCCTGGTGCAGCAGCAGGTCCACAGCACCCTCTGCCAGTGATGAGAGGTCATTACAGACTGCAGCAGGTCCCTGAGGCAAAGGGGATACAGGGAGGACCCTGCAGTACATGCAGAGGAAATAACACCCTCCCCCCCGAAAGGGAATGCAGAGAGATGGGAGTGGGCCCTATCGGAGGCCCATGTCCTGAAGAGGATGCTGTGGACAAGAGGAACACGGGGAGACACCAGCTAGAGGGAGGCACCCAGCCAGGCAGGAGAGCTCTTTCCCAGGAATGAGGGCTCTTTCTGTCATGTTCTGGTTTCGGTGGGATCTTCTAGGGTGCTTGCCTCAGCTTCAGGGTCACCAATCTGCCCTTCATTAGTCATCAGGTAAAATGGGCCCATATGACTGAGTGAGCAGGTTCTGAATCAATGCTTCAAATGCAGCCAGTTGGAAGAGGAAGGGAATCCTGGGCGTGGTCATGCTCACTCAGTGGTTTAGCCCTGTAAGGTGTTCAAATGTTGTCATATAAATACAGTTCATGCTGGAATGGGAGAGAGATCCTGGGTGTGCTTGTGTAAATCCAGTTCAGTCAGTGCTACAGGCCTGATGGATGCTCAGTTGTTAGAATGGAATTTTGCCTGTTGTCACTAATTCAACTGTTGTGGGGTCACAAACCATGTTAACCTTAAATGTAGGAATTGTAAAACATGACACTAGTGCTTGCAGGAGAGACACTGTCATTGTAAAGAATCTCAGATGGACAAGTCTTTCCCCTCCAGACTTAAGTGGAATAGATGCGGGTGGGGGGAGAGCAAAGCTCTGAACCAGCAGGCTACATGCTCTCCAGGCATGATCTGTAAGACTGGTTCAGCCTGTTTCCCTTTCCCTCTCCTCAAACACTAGGCCTTGTAGTGTCCCAGGGAAGATCCTCTTGTGGGTTCCTGACCTGTACATCATGTATTCCTTCCCCTGAGATTCTACTCTGAAGATCCAATAACAAAATTATCCAAAGCACGGGACTTGGTGATTGAGGACTCCCACTATCCAGACATCTGTTGGGAAAACAACACAGCGCGGCACAAATTATACAACAAGTTCTTGGAATGTCCTGGAGACCTTTTTTTAAGCATTTCAGAAGGTGGAGAAAGCAGGAGGCTGTTCTAGGTCTGATTTTGAGAAATAGGGAGGACCTGGTTGAGAACCTGAAAGTGAAAGGCAGCTTGGATTAAAGTGATCATGAAATGATATAATTTGTGATTTTAAGAAATAGCAGGAGGGAGAACAGTAAAATAAAGACAGTGGATTTCAAGAAGGCAGACTTTAGCAAACTCAGTGAGTTGGGAGGTAAGAGCCCCTGGGGGAAGCAAGTCTGAGAAAAAAAAATTGAAGACAGTTGGCAGTTTTTCAAAGAGTCTTTATCCAGGGCACAAAAGTAAACTATTCCACAGTGTAGGAAAGAGGACATATAGCAAGAGACCACTTTGGCTTTCCCACGAGATCTTGAATTATTTAAAAATCATAAAAGAATCCTACCAAAAATGGAAACTATGTCAAAGTACAAAGGATGGAGATAAGCCAATAGCACAAGAATATAGGGGTAAAGTTAGAAAGGCCAAGGCACAAAATGAGCTCCAACTGGCTAGAGACATAAAGGGTGACAAGAAAACATTCTAGAAATACATTAGAAGTGAGAGGAAGCCCAAGGAAAGGGTCGGCCTGTTCTTCAGTGACGAGAGAAACACGAAAACAGAAAATGTGGAAATGGCAGAGCTTGATGAAATGCCTGCCAGAATGCTCAAGGAGCTGACTGAGGAGATAGCTAACAGGAGGGAGCAGTGGGTGGGTGCTGGGTACTCAACAGTTTTTTTCCCTGTGGGTGGACCAGCCCCAGAGCACTCATGGAGTCGGCGTCTATTGTTGGATTTCCTAGATGAAAGCTCGGTTCTGTTCCCCTTCCTATTAAAATTTCCCTTTGTTACACAGACTCAGGGCTTGCAGGAGGGGGAGCGTGTTGCCTCTTGGAGGCACCTGGGTTGTCCTTAAGTATTAGCACATTAGTGGCTGGGGGCTCCAGACAGTTCTGGTTTGCACTGGAACCCCGAGGGATTGACTCTGGGTCTGGCTGCTGCCGATTCCACATGGCAGCAGGGTTCCACCTGGCCAGAAAATCAGGGACGTGAAGAGAGATACCAAGGCCACGGAGCTTGTTCTATGCAAACGGGTGGGTTGTCTTGGGGAGGCGACACACAAGGCCCTGGGAAATTTTCCATGGTGCTGACGGCTCACAGGGGATGGTCCGTCTGCACTGACAAGGTTTCCGTCCCAGGGGACACTGGGAGATATTCAGATCATTACACTGACAGAGCCAACACCTGCCTCCCCAGCAAGTGACCCCGGGAGCTCTCCAGAGAGCCCAGGAAAGGGACCACGGGGGCATGGGAAAGGCCATTCTGTGCTGTGCCTAGGATGGAGGATACCCCTAGAGAGAGAAAAAGGACGTGTCCAGACGGCTCATAACAAATTGCAGGTCTCTCGCAGGGCAAAGCACCTGTACAGCAAAGCTAGAGGGGACACTATCGCAGGCGGGTGTGCAGTGGTGGGTAAAGTATCCCAAAAAGTTACTTGAGTAAATGTACTGCTACTTTGAAAAAAATGTAATTAAGTAAAGTCAAAGTATCCTTCTGGAAAACTACTTGGGTGCATCTAGACTGGCAAGATTTTGTGCAAAAACTTGCCAGCTGTCTACACTGGCCGCTTGAATTGTGCAGAGCACTGACTATCTCATGTAAGACATTCAGTGCTTCTTGCGCAAATACTTTGACATTCCCGCTCAGGGATCAGCCCTCTTGCGCAAGAATACTTGCGCAAGAGGGCCAGTGTAGACAGGCACCTTAATTTTTATTTCAAGAGGGATAAGGGATCTTTTAGAAAAGGCTTTATTTTCCAAAAGATCCGCATCTAGACTGGCGCTATTTTCCGGCAAAGCTCCATGCAGAAAAAAAGCGGCAGCCATTTTTATGCTAATGAAGCGCAAGAGATTTAAATCCCTGCTTCATTAGCGATTGCGATACGTCTAATTTACATCCCTTTTCCGAAAGAGGGATGTAGTCTAGATGTAGCCCAGGTGAGTGAAGTAATATCTTTAATTGGACCAAATATGGTTGGTGACAGAGATAATCTTTGGAATTCCTCAGAGTTCTTCTCCAGATCTGTGAAGGGCTAATCTCTCACCAACCAAAACTGTTCCTAAATCATTTTAAAAAAGATAATACTTCCCCCACCTTGTCTCTTTTTTTGGGTTTCAACAGCTTTAGAGCTTGAACTCTTTGCATCTCCACTTCGTCATTAAAAAAATTCAGACCTCCCTCCATTATTTCTTGTGAAAATTATAAAAAGATGAAAAGCTTAAAACATAACACAAAGTTATAAACCACAAAGAGTGCATGCCTTTTTATAAGCCAGAGCAGCAGAGGTGAAGCATTGCACAGGGGATGGGGAAGAACCTGTATTTGCACTGAGTTCTTCTGAGTTTAAGCACCTCATTGAAACTGCAAGTCACAACAATCACACCCTCTCACACACTAGGAACCCCAGTGTCTTCCAGAGCATGAAAAAGGTTTGCAGGTTAAGATGGGAGCAAAGAAAATGTCCTTATTGTTAATCTTAATGAAGGATCAACACTGCTAAGAAACAGCTTCAGCAAGGCCCAGGCAGGAGAAATTTTAGCATACTGATAAATACAACTTGTAGTGAAAACATAAACAAAACCTGAGAGCATGGACAGGTCATTAAGAATTGAATGGAAGGTAAATGTGTTTCAACCACCCAGCCAGACATTTCCCTAGAGGGCACGTGGGAAAGCTGATTTCAGTGACACTCATCTCCTCTGCACCCACCTGCCTCACATTGGGGAAGCAGCAGCAATAGCTCCCCCTGCCCCCATCCCATACTCACCCCAAAAAAGTGAACAAAACTTCTGAGCCAGTCAGGGAAGCAGAAGAACAAGACCAACTGCTCATGGGGGAGGGGGTTTAAAGGTCTCCTCCCAACAACTCAAAGTGTTATACCCCCCTCCTGAGCCAGTAGCCCAGCTCTCCTCAGTTCCCCTATAGGGCTCTTAGGGGAAAGGTGAAAAAAAGAGGGAGGGTGACCCACACCTGCTCCACATTAGCGCACACACCCAGATAGCAGGGTTGCTCCAAATCTCAATCAGCTGGCACACAGAGGGAAGCTGCGTGCACAGATACAATTCTTCAATCCCCGCCAAACCCAGCCATCCACCCCAAGCCTTTTCCAAAACTGC